AAATAAACAAGAACAAGAACTAGAAAATAGAAGAATACCTAGAGGGGTGTGTATATATATGCTTGTACATGTATGTGTAGTGTGACCTAAGTGCAAGTAGAAGTAACAAGACATACCTGAAATCTTGCATGTTTATGAGACAGACAAAAGACACCAGCAATCCTACCATCATGTAAAACAATTACAGGTTTTTGTTGTACACTCACTTGGCAGGACGGTAGTACCTCCCTGGGCGGTTGCTGTTTATCAACCTACCACCTAGAATTATTATTATTATACGTATTATTATTATTATTGTATTGTATTATTATACGTACTATTATTATTATCCATATACATATTATTATTATTATTATTATTATTATTATTATTATTATTACAAAATAAATAATTTGTAATTTTTATTCACACAAAAAATATAAGATTTACTGTTATGCCTTATTGCAATAATTGTATAAATAATGTCAACCCATTCATGACTGCATATTGGAATGGACAGTGACGGAATGGACAGTGATGGAATGTTTTCAGATATTTGGGAGTTGACGTATCAGCGGATGGATTTATGAAGGATGAGGTTAATCATAGAATTAATGAGGGAAAAAAGGTGAGTGGTGCGTCGAGTTATATGTGGAAACAAAGAACGTTATCTATGGAGGCAAAGAAGGGAATGTATGAAAGTATAGTGGTACCAACACTCTTATATGGGTGTGAAGCTTGGGTTGTAAATGCTGCAGCGAGGAGGCGGTTGAAGGCAGTGGAGATGTCCTGTCAAAGGGCAATGTGTGGTGTAAATATTATGCAGAAAATTTGGAGTGTGAAAATTAGGAGAAGATGTGGAGTTAATAAAAGTATTAGTCAGATAGATGAAGAGGGGTTGTTGAGGTGATTTAGTCATTTAGAGAGAATGGATCAAAGTAGAATGTCATGGAGAGCGTATATATCTGTAGGGGAAGGAAGGCAGATTAGGGGTCGTCCTCGAAAAGGCTGGAGGGAGGGTGTAAAGGTTTTGTGGGCGAAGGGCTTGGACTTCCAGCTAGCGTGCATGAGCATGTTAGATAGGAGTGAATGGAGACGAATGATATTTGGGACCTGACGAGCTGTTGGAGTGTGAGCAGGGTAATATGTAGTGAAGGGATTCAGGGAAACCGGTTATTTTTATATAGCCGGACTTGAGTCCTGGAAATGGGAAGTACAATGCCTGCACTTTAACCCTTTCAGGGTCCGTCCCGTAGATCTACGGCTTCACGTTGAGTGTCCAAACTGTAGATCTACACCAAAATTCTAGCACCGTCAAATTTAGCGCGAAAGCACTCATAGGCCTACATATGAGAGAACGGGTCTGCGTGGTGGGTGTGCGCCATAAACAAAAAATCTATGCACCCGCATAGCATTGTGGGAATGCCGGCTCAGTTACCCTTGTTCATCATGCCTCGTTGCAAGTCAGCTTTCACTCCCCGGAAAATTGGGAGTCTCCTCTTCCTATCTGATAGTTCTGACACTGATGGAAGTGGAAATGAAGACGAATTCTACAGCTTTGATCAGTTAGTGACCGAAAGGAATGACTAGGATATCGATAATAGTGCAGAAAACCCTGACGATCCTCAACCTTCTACCTCTGGTGTGGGCACTCGTGACTCACGGTCGGTTGTGCCTCAACGCAAGAGAAAACTAATATTTTCGTGTGGCCAGGCCTCTGACTTCAGTAATGATGATGATAGTGACGTGGATTGTGATTTTATTGCGCTCGACGATCATTCGAGTAGTGATAATGAGGAATCATATTCACCAGTGAAGCGTCGGTATGTTCGCCGCCGCATGCGCTCGGGTAGTGTACCCTATGCTGTGCCCAGGGGACGGAGTACATCCCAGAGTACATCCCGGAGTACATCCCGTGGCCCTACACCAGTTTTAGGTAGTGATAGTGAGGATGATGTGGCTACACTTGGCATGGATAGACCACAGGCATCAGTGGATGGTGGTAGTGGTGATGGTAGTGGCACCGCCATGCGTGACTCACCAGCCCACGCTGCTGACTCGTCAGTTCAAGGACGAAGCGGAGCGTCAGCCACCAGCCCACCACAACCACAACCACCCGCACAACCAGCCTATGATGTCCAGTATCCACCAGCAAACCATATGTGGGATTGGCAGCAAAATCCCAATTTTGTTCCCAAGCCTCACCACTTTGATGATTCTCAAAGTGGAATTCTACCTACTTGTCCCCTTGGAACCACTGCCAATGAACTGGAATTCTTTGAATTATTCTTTGACCAGCCATTGATGGAAACTATTGTCAGGGAAAGTAATAAGTATTTTGAGTACACCATGGCAAATACGATCATATCACCACAGTCAAGACTACACAGGTGGAAAGAGACGACTGTTGCAGAAATGTATTTGCTTTTTGCAACAATAATGCTTATGCCTCATGTCTATAAGCATAATATAAAAGCATACTGGTCCACAGATCGGCTAATTTCTACCCCGGTCTTCAGTGAAATCATCCCAGTGAACAGGTTTATCTTACTCTTACATATGTTGCACTTCTCTGACAAAACCAGGCCTGACAGAAGTGACAGGTTATATAAGATTAGAAATGTTTTCATGTATCTCAAACAAAAGTTCAGCATATACTTTTATCCATTCAAGAATGTTGTAATTGACGAGTCTTTGATTTTGTTCAAAGGTAGACTGTCATTCAAGCAGTATATACCGAGCAAGAGGAAACGCTTTGGTATAAAATTGTTTGTACTCTGTGACTGTGACAGTGGCCTGGTGTTGGATATTGTTGTATACACAGGAAGTAAAACATTGAAAGATACCAAGATGTTATTGGGTATCTCAGGTGATGTAGTGAGAAACATGATGGCACCTTATCTTGGTAAGGGGCATACATTATATACCAATAACTGGTACACAAGCCCATTACTCAGTGATTTCATGCGAGTGAACAAGACAGATGTGTGTGGCACAGTGCGTTCTAATCGTAAACATATGCCCAGGCTCAACGCAGGTGCTCGTGGTGATGACGTGCAGGTGTTTACTGCCAATGACATCATGGCATTACGGTGGCATGACAAACGAGATGTCACATTGTTGACAACCATTCACCGTAATGAAATGCAAGACAGTGCCAAAGTTGATCGAGTGACTAATGAACGTACGTATTCAAAAACCAGTGACAGTGATTGATTATACACAAAACATGCGCTTGGTTGACAAATGTGACATGCAGATTGGTTTTGTTGACTGTGTTCGTAAGAGTTACAAGTGGTACATGAAACTTTTCTTCCATCTCATGGACATTTCAATGCTCAATGCATATAATATGTACCAAATAAAGACTGGCAATAGACCACCGTATGGTGAATTTTGTTTGTTGTCAGACAACTCATAATGAAGTACCAGGTAAGAATACCTGCTATACAACAAGGTCCTCGAATTACTCAGGATATACCCAAGCATTTGAGGAGGGAAGGTGATCATTTCATAATACAGCTTCCTTCAACTCAGAAGAAATTTGCTCAGAAGAGATGCATCGTCTGTGCACAAACAAAACGATGGCAACAAAGACGCAAAGACACTCGGTTTATGTGTGAGGAATGTAAGGTGCCTCTGTGCATGGTGACTTGTTTCTAGGAGTTCCACAAGCTCCAGCAGTTCTAAAACCATGTCCAGTGATTGTAAATATGTAAATATATGATAGAACATTAGCATTATACAAGATTTGTGCATGTTTATTGTAATAAACAACAGTGGTAAACAATAATATGATAATAACTTTAGTGCAGTTATTGTGTTCAATACAGTGAGTTTATATATATACATTATATACAGTATTGGTCTCTCAGGCCCCAAATGTTAGTAGGAAAAGAAAAAAATTGGAAAAGAAAAGAAAAAACTATAAAAACCGCTAAATAATGTAATGCGCGTATGTGGAATTCGTCGATGTTGCCACCACAACATCATTTTGGACAAACTTCTTGGCACTGTATCTCGGTAAGTACTGATCAGAAAATTTTTTTTTTTCTTATTACCTTCATAAAAATATGCTCTTTATTCTGTTAGATTTTTTTTTTTTTTTTTTTTTTCTTCCAAAATTTCTTGGACACCGGAGCACCACTTCAGATTTTGGCCTTGGACCCTGAAGGGGTTAAAGGAGGGTTTGGGATATTGGCAGTTTGGAGGGATATGTTGTGTATCTTTATATGTATATGCTTCTAAACTGTTGTATTCTGAGCACCTCTGCAAAAACAGTGATTATGTGTAAGTGAGGTGAAAGTGTTGAATGATGAAAGTATTTTCTTTTTGGGGATTTTCTTTCTTTTTGGGTCACCCTGCTTCGGTGGGAGGCGGCCAACTTGTTAAAAAAAAAAAATTATAGCTCTTGGAGGTCTGAAACACAATTATTTTTCCCATATGTTATTTTCAGGAAAAAAATCTGAGCAAATTATGATCGTCTGTTGTATAATGTTTGTGCTATGACACTACCAAAACAAATAATTTTTTGTAGAAATTAACTCGCACCTTGCTCGGTTAGGCGAAGTAATGTTTATTTGGTTAATAAAATAAAGGAAGATGAATGATGTAGACTTAGTCACCTGCCCACAGCTGCATGTTATATTATCATGTGCAACAGACGGGACTTGCCACAGTGGGTTCAAGCTGAAAAAAATTAGATTTAGAAAGGATATAAGAAAGCCATACTCCCCACAAACACACCTCATGATTTCTTCTCTTTCATTTCACGTAACATGCTATCACTTCCAGTTTCCTATAGTTGACACTTTACGTTCATTAAAAAATCAGTCATCCATTTGCTTAACTAATCAGAGATATTTTAGTGATCTAATCTTTATTTTGTGCAGAATTTTGTCATCTGCAGACATATAGTGTGTATGCAGCTATAGCATCTTTTATTGCTTAATACTCTGTATGTCATGTCTTCATGTGTGTTTTCAAATGCTATAATGTATTTATAATTTCACCTTCTCTAGAAAATGCCAAGAATCGCCATGTTGTTATACGAGGACATGCAGAAAAGGCACCAGAATTCCAGAAAGTCCTAATGGAAAAGGCTGCTGCAGTAGAACATGGGGCCCTCAAGTTAAACAGAACCAGAGAAGAAATGGATGAGGTCTTAAAGGAGTTTGATTTGGCTTTACAAAAAGTGGAACTACAACTGTCGTCTCATACTGGAGGTAAGGTCATTTAGGTCATTAAGAAACCATTTTTTAGGAGTGAAGAAGAGCAGGATGTAAGTGGGGGAGGTGCATGAGGCATTACATAGAATGAAAGGGGGTAAAGCAGCTGGAACTGACGAGATCATGACAGAAATGTCAAAAGCAGGGGGGATATAGTGTTGGAGTGGTTGGTATTTTTGTTTAATAAATGTATGAAAGAGAGGAAAGTACCTAAGGATTGGCAGAGAGCATGTATAGTCCCTGTATATAAAGGGAAGGGGGACAAAAGAGATTGTAAAAATTATAGAGGAATTAGTTTACTGAGTATACCAGGAAAAGTGTACGGTAGGGTTATTATTGAAAGAATTAGAGGTAAGACAGAATGTAGGATTGCGGATGAGCAAGGAGGTTTTAGAGTGGGTAGGGGATGTGTAGATCAAGTGTTTACATTGAAGCATATATGTGAATAGTATTTAGATAAAGATAGGGAAGTTTTTATTGCATTTATGGATTTAGAAAAGGCATATGATACAGTGAATAGAGGAGCAATGTGGCAGATGTTGCAAGTACACCTACCATCCGACTTATGACCTGCTCGACTTACGACCACTCGACTTATGACCGTGTTTTTTTTTTTTTTTTGCCAAATTTCTGGGAAATAAACAACTATTTGTGTTGTACACAGTGTTTATCCTAAACCTTACAGTATAAAATACAGTACTAACAGCATAAAAAGTAAAGTAAAACATGAAATACCAAAATAAAACAATAAACTAAAGTCATTACAGAAATGTGATGTTGATATTCAGTAGTAAAGTTCGACTTACGTCCATTTCGACTTAGGACCGGTTTCTCGGAACTAAACTCGGTCGTAAGTCGGATGGTACGTGTATATGGAATAGGTGGTAAGTTACTAAATGCTGTAAAGAGTTTTTATGAGGACAGTGAGGCTCAGATTAGGGTGTGTAGAAGAGGAGATTACTTCCCGGTAAAAGTAGGTCTTAGACAGAGATGTGTAATGTCACCATGGTTGTTTAATATATTTATAGATGGGGTTGTAAAAGAAGTAAATGCTAGGGTGTTCGGGAGAGGGGTGGGATTAAATTATGGGGAATCAAATACAAAATGGGAAGTGACAGTTACTTTCTGCTGATGATACTGTGCTTATGGGTGATTCTATAGAAAAATTCCAGAGGTTAGAGGACGAATTTGTGAGTGTGTGCAAAGGTAGAAAGTTGAAAGTGAACATAGAAAAGAGTAAGGTGATGAGGGTATCAAATGATTTAGATAAAGAAAAATTGGATATCAAATTGGGGAGGAGGAGTATGGAAGAAGTGAATGTTTTCAGATATTTGGGAGTTGACGTATCAGCGGATGGATTTATGAAGGATGAGGTTAATCATAGAATTAATGAGGGAAAAAAGGTGAGTGGTGCATCGAGTTATATGTGGAAACAAAGAACGTTATCTATGGAGGCAAAGAAGGGAATGTATGAAAGTATAGTGGTACCAACACTCTTATATGGGTGTGAAGCTTGGGTTGTAAATGCTGCAGCGAGGAGGCGGTTGAAGGCAGTGGAGATGTCCTGTCAAAGGGCAATGTGTGGTGTAAATATTATGCAGAAAATTCGGAGTGTGGAAATTAGGAGGTGTGGCGTTAATAAAAGTATTAGTCAGAGGGCTGAAGTTGGTTGGTCATTTAGAGAGAATGGATCAAAGTAGAATGTCATGGAGAGCATCTAAATCTGTAGGGGAAGGAAGGCGGGGTAGGGGTCATCGAAAGGGTTGGAGGGAGGGGGTAAAGGAGGTTTTGTGGGTGACGGGCTTGGACTTCCAGCAAGCGTGCATGAGCGTGTTAAATAGGAGTGAATGGATACGAATGATATTTGGGGCCTGACGAGCTGTTGGAGTGTGAGCAGGGTAATATTTAGTGAAGGGATTCAGGGAAACCGGTTATTTTATATAGCTGGAATTGAGTTCTGGAAATGAGAAGTACAATGCCTGCAGTTTAAAGGAGGGGTTTGGGATATTGACAGTTTGGAGGGATATGTTGCGTATCTTTATACGTATATGCTTCTAAACTGTTGTATTCTGGGAACCTCTGCAAAAACAGTGATTGTGTGTGAGTAAGGTGAAAGTGTTGAATGATGATGAAAGTATTTTCTTTATGGGTCACCCTCCCTCGGTGGGAGAAGGCCGACTTGTTTAAAAAAAAAAAATGCTGTATCTACCTTCTGTTAAGGAGTGCCTCCGGCAAATTTCCGCGCGCGCTCACCGAAATATCGGAAAAATATGGATAGTGAGTTATATATACTGAAAAATAGCTCAACTCTTTGGCAACACAATGGTACCAGAATGAATGTTCTACGACGTTTCTACAAGAAATTACAGTCATTTATATGAGGTAAGGTGACGGTGATATTGGTAGCGAGTCTGCTCACAGCCCATATATATTTTGGAAATTTTTCCTTGTTTTTTATCGCTTTTTCTTGCATTATACTTTCTAATATAATAACTGAGTACTTGGCATCATAAAACTGAAGGCGGAGCTTATCACCTAGATTGAGCAACAGTCATTAATCATATCATAATGCGCGGAAGGGTTGCCGCGCCAGGGAGAAATCACTTCATTATTACGCTTATATCAGCTTATATATCAACTCTACAGCTTATTTATCTATCAGAATTGTTCTAATATGATATAATAAACACTCTAAATAACATACAAACATGTTATATACTCTAGACTGAAAAAAATAGACCATAATATGGCGAAAGATTATCGGGAATATTTCGATAAATATTGAGTTACTGCTCTCCATGTCGTCTCCGTGTCGTATTCTTTGGTCTCTGAGTAAGAGAAAACGGTGTTTTGAAGAGGATAACTGCACTAGAACATCAGTTTACTAAGAAATACACCCAAACAACGCGATTTTCGCGAAAAAAAAACTTTTTTTTTGAGACGGTGGGCCGGCCGGCGTTCTAGCCTATATTCTCGGAAGTAACTTATTCCTCTACAGTTGCTAATTTCTGCATTTATTACTTAATTAAATGGAATAATATTCACAGAAATTGTAGAATAATGGTTTCTCTAATTTTGTTAAAGGTAATTTGGAAATATTCAAATACTTTCGGAGTTAGTGGGAGTAAAGGGCAGATTTTTGCAGTATTCCAGGAACTAAAAAAAAATTTTTTTTTTTTTATTAAAGATCGTTATTTAGAGAAAAGGCGTTGCCTAAAATTAGTTTAAGCATTGCTCTCTCGGCACCAAGTGTCCAAACAACCTTACGATGTCCCATATAGGAATGATTTTTGAGACAAGGACATTTTTCAGAAAATCAGTCTTTTTCAGTCTTTTCTCAGTTGTCGTTTGAGGTATATTTTTGATAAATATTTTCAAGAATGAGTGAAAACACTTTGTCTTGTGCACCAAAACTGGAGGAAATCGGACGGTAAACAAAAAAGCTACATTTTTTTGCCGGAGGCACTCCTTAATAAGCAGTGCATCCAGATCTCATTAATCTAGAATCTAATTAAATATTTTTATTAGTAGTGGAGGGAGAAAATGAATAACCAAACTACTAAGTTCATAGTTTGCATTTTGTTGCAATATACTTCTTGAGTCCTGGAAATGGGACGTACACTTTAGAGGGGTTTGGGATATTGGCAGTTTGGAGTGACTATCTAAACTGTCGTATCTGGGTGCCTCTGCAACGACAGTGATTGTGTGAGTGATGGTGAAAGTGTTGACTGATAATGAAAGTTTTTTTTCTTTTTGGATTTTTCTTTCTTTTGGGTCACCCTGCCTTGGTGGGAAATGGCCGTGTTAAAAAAAAGATTTCATCTTGACTTACAGACTTGAGTCCTCGAGGTGGGAAGTACAATTCTTACCCTTTCAGTGTCTGTGCTGTAGTACTGTGGGTTTGAGGTCACTGTCAGTGCCATAGTAATACACCATGAGCTCAGCTCACTCAGATAAGCTGTGAGCAGTAAATTTTGGCCTAGATATGAGAGAAAGGGTTTACATGGTAAGTGTGCACCATATAAAAAAAATCCTTTGGCACGCAGTGCATAATGGGGGAAAAACTGCCCGTGAGAAATATCAGAGAAATATCGGCGCTGGAACAAATACAGAGATCATTTACGGCTCACATTGAGCCAGTAAAGCACCGAAACTACTGGGAACGCCTTCAAGTCTTGAACATGTACTCATTGGAGCGGAGGAGAGAGAGATACATGATAATATATACCTGGAAAGTACGGGAGGGCCTGGTCCAAAATCTACACCCCTGCCATAACATACTAGAGTGAAAGATATGGGAGGAAGTGTAAAACAAACCCAGTGAGGAGCAGGGGCGCGGTGGGGACAATAAGGGAACACTGTATCAACATCCAGGGTCCCAGACTATTTAACATCTTACCAGAAGATATCAGAAACATGGCTGGGACAAGTGTAGAAGCCTTCAAGAGGAAACTGGACAAGTATCTTCATCAGGTGCCAGATCAGCCAGGCTGTGATGGATATGTGGGGCAGCAGGCCTCCAGCAGCAACAGCCTGGTTGACCATTCAGGCACCAGACGAGTCTGGCCCATGGCTGGGCTCAGAGATAGAGAAACTCTTGAAACTTTCCAAAGGTATATCAAAGGTGTTTTTGGTTTAAGACACTAACTTTATCTTGTATTTCATATGAATTTTATGGTTGTATTCTAGGTTTCTTGGTCTCATTGGATAGAATGGAAGATGAACATCAAAATGGTATACAATACCGACAGGTTGTTAGGTAAGACACATATGCAACAGTTAGACAACTTTATTCCGAAACATTTCGCCTACACAGTAGGCTTCTTCAGTCGAATACAGAAAGTAGGCAGGAACAGTAGAGATGTAATCAGTCCATCACCCTTGAAGTCGTAGAATTTGAGGTTGTCAGTCCCTCAGCCTGGAGAAGTCCAGGGACTGACAACCTCAAATTCTACGACTTCAAGGGTGATGGACTGATTACATCGTCTCACATCTCTACTGTTCCTGCCTACTTTCTGTATTCGACTGAAGAAGCCTACTGTGTAGGCGAAATGTTTCGGAATAAAGTTGTCTAACTGTTGCATATGTGTCTTACCTAACAGAATGGAAGATATATTACAGAAATAGAAATGATTTTGGTTTGTGTCAAGACTGAAAGTATCTTGAATTTGAAGCTCAAAGTAGCGGAAATGTATAAATTTTTGCTGATATTCAAGAGTAAACAAATCGTATTACTCATCCAATACACGTCCAACTGGTGGTCTAAGATGTGCTCACGAATGCACTGATACTATTTCTCTTTCAACAAACTGGTTGTATCCCACCGAGTGTATACAATAGAAGGGGTTATTAGCCACTTGCTCCTGGCATTTTAGTCTCCTCTTACGACACGCATGGCTTACAGAGGAAGAATTTTGTTCCACTTCCCCATGGAGATAAGAGGAAATAAACAAGAAAAGAACTAGCAAGAAATTAGAAGAAAACCCAGAGGGTTGTGTGTACATATAGTATATGGACAATAAAATGGTATAAAATACCGACAGGTTGTTAGGTAAGACACATATGCAACAGTTAGGTATCTTTATTTCGAAACGTTTCGCCTACACAGTATTGTTTCATACCATGGAACAATGCTTTTCTCCAGACTGAGGGACTGACCACCTCAAAACTTTAAGGGTGATGGACTGATTACATCGTCTTCAAGTATCTTCTGCTTCTATCAACTTTTCTGTACTCGACTGAAAAAGCCTACTGTGTAGGCGAAACGTTTCGAAATAAAGATACCTAACTGTTGCATATGTGTCTTACCTAACAACATATAGTATATGCTTGTACATGCATGTTTAGCGTGAATTAAATATAAGTAGTAGCAGGAAGACATACCTGAAATCTTGCATGTTTATGAAACAAAAAAGACACCAGCAATCTTAGCATCTTGTAAAACAATTACAGGCTTCTGTTTCACACTCACTTGACAAGACGGTGGTGAAATAGCTAAGAATTTGGTCTACTGGAACAATGTAATTGGCCAAAAATAAGACGCAAATTGGGCAGAATTGCCGATGCGTAAATGTCGCTGACAAAGCAAAATCATGAATGTGTAATTTTGTCAGTTTTTCAATCAGATTTTGTTCTTTGTTTTATTACCTTGAGAAAAAGATTCTCTACTATTTCATTAGAATTTTTTCTTTTTTTTTAAATTCTTGGATGCTGTAGACAAGTTTCAGATCAGGGGTCTGGACAAGGAAAGGGTTAATTAAAGGAGGGGTTTGGGATATTTGCTGTTCGGAGTGACATCTGAACTGTCATATTTTGTGTGCCTCTGCAAAGACAGTGTGTGGAACAATGGTGAAAGTATTTATTTTTTGGGTCGCCTTGCCTCGGTGGGAGACGACCAGTGTGTTGAAAAATGAAAAAAAAAAAAAGAAGAAATATTTGAACATACTTCTTGTTGATTGCAAGGAAAAGTGTACATTTGAAAAAAAAAAAAATCTTTTGATAGATTCAGAAAGGACGTTCATAATTTAATTTTTTATTCAGAAGATTGCAAATTTTTGGAGAATGTTTGCAGTTAATTTTTCTAAAAATATTTAAATTTAGAATTTTCATAATTTTGTCTCAGAATTTTTTTGGCTGAATTTAAGATTTGAAATAATACAATTTCAAATGCTATTTTCAGAATTTAGTTGAATTGCTAATAAAAATTACTGTATACAAAGAAAAATTTACTGAAAGTATTAGTTTATCAGGAAATAAAAAATACTTGAAAAACCAAAAACCACCTTATTCTGCCCTTTAATACTGGTTTTAGGAAATTAGCCTTTTGAATATTTTATCTCATGCAATTTGATGTTTCAGATAAATCTGCATGGTGGTTGTGTGGTGAAATGTTCAGTATAGCTGATGTAGACTTAGCCATTCTTCTAAATCGCCTTAATTGTCTGGGCTATGAACTTAAATTTTGGGCAGGAGGAAAGCGTCCTTTTCTGGAAACATACTGGCATAAAATACAGAAGAGAGATTCATTTAAGGTAAGGTGGAATGTTCATCTGCTCTCATTCTACATGTACAGTGGAACTAAAGAGCATGAGTGTGGTGCATTGATTTTTGAAATACAGTATAGTTGATAAAACCATGATTGGGTACACACATTATTAAACTGTACTGCAGATTGAATTCTGGCTTGTGAATTGTTTATTATAATAATGATGTATTGTGTTACAGAGAGCTACGTACTTCTCAACAAATGCAGTGCATTTGACAAAGCTCCGAGGAATCTTGAAGCAAAGTAAAACTTTGCTGGCGTCATTAACAGCAGTAATGGGCATAGCAATTATATCTTACATAATATATCGACGGGTATCGAAATCGTAGGAGAGAATTTTCATTGTTTCTACAGTAGCATCAGTGCTTAGACTCACACTTTGTAGTGTTTGGTTATTTTGGTTATATGGGTTTGGATAATTTTGGATAGGTTTTAGCAGGACTCACTATTAGGAAAAAAGATAAATATGTTTATATTGTACGTGCAAGTCAGTGACCATTGAACAATAGAGCTATGCGAGATTTTCTTTGTGTGTTTGTGCGCATGCATGTGCGTGTGTGTGTACTTGCCTATTTGTGGTTGCAGGGGTCGAGTCATAGCTCCTGGCCCCGTCTCTTCACTGATTGCTTCTAGGTCCTCTCCCTGCTCTATGAGCTTTATCAAACCTCGTCTTAAAACTATGTATGGTTCCTGCCTCCACTACATTACTTTCTTGGCTATTCCTCTGTGTGTGTGGTGCGTGCGTGCGTGTGTGCGTGCGCGCGTGTGCGTGTGTGTGTGTGTGTGTTACCATTTTGTCATAGGCACATGTCGATTAGACACTAGGCCTGTTGTATATGAGTACGTGTGTGTGTGTGTGTGTGTGGTAGTTGTGTGTGTGTGTGTGTGTGTGTGTGTGGTAGTTGTGTGTGTGTGTGTGTGTATGTGTGTGTGTGTGTGTGTGGTACTCACCTATTTGTGGTTGCAGGTGTCGATTCATAGCTCCTGGCCCCCGCCTCTTCACTGATTGCTACTAGGTCCTCTCTCTCCCTGCTCCATGAGCTTTATCATACCTCGCCTTAAAACTATGTATGGTTCCCTCCTCCACTACTTCACTTTCTAGGCTATTCCACGGCTTGACTACTCTATGACTGAAGAAATACTTCCCGTAAACACCCTTTGATTCATCTAGTCCTTCAACTCCAATTGTTACCTCTTGTGTGAGTCTGTTCCCAACTCTGGAACATCTCATCTTTGTCCACACATCGTCTTATTCTCCCGCGCAAGTATTTTATATGTCGTTATCATGTTCGTCCCCTGACCCTCCTGGACTTCCAGTGACATCAAGGAGCCGATTTCCCCCCAACCTCAAATCCCCCGTAAACTCTGGGACTATCCAACACCCCCCCCCTTGTTGCAAACCTTGCACTTTTCTCTAATTTCTTGACGTGGCTTGACTATGATGGATTCCAAACTGGTGCTGCATACTCCAGTATGGCCTGGACGTAAATGGTAATTCATCAGAGTCTTGACGAATTCCTTACTGAGATATCGAACGCTTCTTATTGCTGTTCTTGCCTGCTGAACAGCGGTTTTAGTGCCAATGAAGTACGTAGGGTAGCAATGGAATACGGCCCGTGGACTAGTTTTGGCTTTAATTGATAAGGAGTGAGTACACAACGGGCAATGTGTGGGAAAGTGACCGCAAGCCCATTTTCGTTGAGGGGAGCACTTGTGTCTAATCACGTCGTCGTAGGCCTAGAGTGAGAGCGAATGGGCTCAGCCTCTCACTGACCTGGTGAGCCTACAGAGGGCCCAGGGCACTAGTCCAGAACAGACGGCTAGGCTGTGTGTTCTACAAATACAGGCTGTCTGCATTTGCTCGGCCATGCCACCCTCGCGTCAACCTGACGTCGACAATACTGTGGGCCCAGTAGGTAAAAGTGAATTACTTACACTAGCTTACCCCAGAGAGGGACTGCTTTTGCTCACATTGTAAATCATAAGGACATAACAAAACAAACAGGAAAAAAAAAAAAACTCTTCTCTCCCATCCAGGGAAGAAGAAAACTGGTTGCCCAGCAGGCTGATTCATTGAGGAGAGAGTCCGGAGACGTCAAGCACTGGAAACTAAAATCTTCTATATACAAGTTGCCGCCAGGCCTGAACATCAGTGACCACTCGTCACGAACGTTGTTGCACACCCGCATTCTGCAAACAATGGACTGACAGTAGCAAGTGTGCTTCCTGATTAGTTTCCCTGTAGCAATCTCCCTCACCCTCGAACTTATTTCCATGACTGTCGTAGGGGACATAAAGGACTCACAAATTTTGGACAAGTTTGTGCAGACCCTGGGGTCTGCGCGGGTTGAGCAAAAATAACTTAGCAACCTGGGGTTTCCACTTTCTTTGGCGCGGGGGCATCTGCGCTCAGATGTGAACCTATCAGTAGCTTTTCATAAGGTACTCTCCCGTACCCGCTGGTAAGACAAGCATGGCGTTGTCCCTCGCTTGACTACACTGGGTTATCAGTATGGTAAGTAGTCCTGTGGAAGCAAACAGAATTTCATATGGTAAGCGCTTGTCATAGCCATACAAAGTAAAAGAGGTGTCCCTCACCGATATGAGCTGTTGAGGAGGAAATTTAATGTACACTGAATCATCTGGGGAATAGCCACATCCCATGTAGTACAACTTGGGTTAACGGTTACCCCTGAGCACCTCCAGGACTTTTTGCGATTATGTACGTATCAGCAAGACCATTACTCGAAGGGTGGCATGGAAGCTACTGGCGCTTGGGGTGAATGTTACAATCTGGAGCAAAGATCCTGCATATGCCATTTAATAAACTCAACCCATTGTCTGACAGAAGGACACGTGGCATGTTATGAACGAGAGAACAACATGCCAACGAAAGCAACATAGCGACCCGTTTCGGCGGCGGTTTTTGGTCAGGAATGGGTACTATTCCACTGTACCAGCGTCAAGTTATCTACCATTACATAGGCAGGTTCTTATTTCCCTTCTCGAGGTCAGAAGTTCGCACAGGTCGACCAGAAGTCTCTACCAGGGCTCGCTTTGTAATGGGTACTTTTAGAATGGGGTTAGGACCTGTTAAATGGTACCCTGTGCTGTAGGCAAACAACACACTGGTGTACATGGCTTGGCAATGTTCGCGCCTTCTTAGGGCCCGAAATATTTCATTCGTGCCTGTTTGATACTGCGGTCCTTCCCCCGGGGTGCGCTACCCCTGGACATCGTGGATCAACCTAAGAGTACTGGGTATCATGGACTATTCCGTATCACCAGTTTGGTATATGTTCTGCCGGGGTCCACGCACAGTGGCAACACGGCACCAGTACTCCTTTGGTTGACCCACCAAATCCTTCAGTGGAACGGGAGACCTTGACCTGTAAGTCCACGTCCCTCCTTGTTCAGGAAACGAAGTAGCAGAGACCACACAGGTTCCGTCGTTGGGCTCTCCTAGATTCCTCAAAACAGAGAACGAGGTTTGCCCGACACCAACTGAATGCATAATGTGCCTCGACAGGGCCATCGAGCGACAAACATTTTGCCTTAACCTTGGGACATAGCAAATTTTCAGGGTTTGTAGTCATTGATTGTGGAACGACCACCGAGCATGCTTTCCCCAAGAGTTTTCTAATCGCAAAAAGGCCCAATAAGGGTAGAATGATCTGTGTTAAATCATGATAGATAATATAGATTGATATTCCCGAAAATGACTCAAGCCCATACAATGGCTAAAGACTTCGAGCTCTGTAACTGAATAATTGACTTCCGCTTTAGGAAGGACACAGCTAGCATAGGCCAATAGGCTGTTGCATACCATTAGATTCCTTGTGACAAGACTGCACGCGATGCCTACGTGGGGGCTGGGGGGGGGGGGGGCATCATCGTCAATGTAAATGCCTTGGTGAAATCAGGAATCTAAGGTTGCGGCTGATGTTAACATGTTTCTTTAACGCCTTCAGGTCCAGGCCAAATCTGAATAGTCACGCCCCCAGTGTCCAAGAAAATTTTGAAAAAAAAAAAAAAAATTATTTTTTTCTTACAGAATTAAAGAGCATTTTTTGTGAAGGTAATAAAACATAAAAAATTAGAATCTGATCAGTACTTACCGAGATACAGTGCCAAGAAGTTTTTGTAAGAAAATGATGTGTGGCGGCACATCGACGAAATTCAACATACGCGTATTATATTTATTTTGTTGGTTTAGGAGTTGTTTTTTTTCTTTCCTTTTCCAATTTTTTTCTCTTCCTACTAAACATTGGGGCTGAGAGACCAATACTGTATATAATGTATATATATAAACTCCTGTATTGAACACAATAACCGCACTAAAGTTATATCATATTAGTGTTTACCACTGTTTGTTTATTTACATTATAACATGCACCAAATATTGATATAATATAATGTTCTATCATATATTACCATATTTACAATCACTGGAACATGAGGTTAGGAACTGACTAGAGCTTGTGGAACTCCTTGGAAACAAGCACCAATGCCAACAGAGGCACCTTACATTCCTCACACACATAACCGAGTGTCCTTTTGCGTCTTTAGTTTGCCGTCGTTTTGTTTGTGCACAGACAATGCATCTCTTCTGAGCAAATTTCTTTTGAAGTTGAAGGGAACTGTATTATGAAATGATCAACACCTTCCTCTTCTCAAAACGCATTGGGTATAATTTGTTGATGAATTCGAGACCATGTTGTATTGCAGGTGTTGTTACCTGTACTATCATTATGATTGTCTGAGAACAGACAAACAAAATTCACACCATACGGTGTCCTGTTACCAGTCTTTTTATTTGGTTACATATTATATGCATTCAGCATTGAAATGTCCTATGAGATGGAAGAAAAGTTTCATGTACCCAACTTGTAACTCTTACGAACACAGTCAACAAAACCAATCTGCATGTCACACTTGTCCAACCAAGCGCATGTTTTGTGTAGATCATTCACTGTCACTGGTTTTCGAATACGTTTTCAATTATCACTTCGATCAACTATGGTCGCCACGGAGTCCGTGCATTTCATTAACGGTGAATGTTTGTCAACAATGTGACATCTCGTTTGGTCATGCCACCGTAATGCCATTGATGTCATTGGCAGTAAACACCTGCACGTCATCACCAAAACGAACACTCTGCCGTTGAGCCCTGGGCATATGTTTACGATAAGAACGCATGTGGCCACACACATCTGTCTTGTTGATTCACTCGCAATGAAATCAACTGAGTACTGACTTGTGTACCAGTTATCGTAAATATAATGTATGGGCCCATTACAAGAATAAGTGCCACATGTTTCTCACTACCGTCACCTGATATACCCCAATAACATCTTGTATCTTTCAATGTTTTAACTACCCGTGTATAGCCAACAATATCAACACCAGGCCCACTGTCCACAATCACAGAGTAAAACAAACAATATTATACCAAAGCGGTTCCTCTTGCTCTCGGTAATAATACTGCTTGAAAATGACAGTCAAACCTTTGAACAAAAACAAAAGACTCGTCAATTACCAAGATTCTTGACTGGATAAAAAGTATATCCTGAACTTTTTGTTTGAGATACATGAAAACATTCTAATCTTGTATAAAACCTGTCACTTTCTGTCAGCCTGGTTTTGGTCAGAAGAAGTCAACATACGTAACAGAAAGATAAACCTGTTCACTGGTAATTATTTCCTGAAGGATGGGGTACAAATTAGAGCCGATCTGTGACCCAGTATGCTTTTATATTAGCTTATAGACGTGAGGCATAAGCCATTATGTTGCAAAAAGCAAATACATTTCTGCAACAGTCCGTCTCTTTCCACCTGTGTAGTCTTGACTGTGTGAAAGATAGTATTTGTCCATGGGTGTACTGAAAATACTTATTACTTTCCCATGACAAAATTTCCAGCATGCGGGTCAAAGAATAATTCAAAGAATTCCATTTTCATTGGCCGTGGTTTTCCAAGGGGACAGGTAGTAGAATTCCCTTTGCGAGTCATCAAAGTGTGAGGGCTTGGGAACGAAAATGGGATTTTGCTGGCCATCCCCAGATACGTTGCTGTGGTACTGGACATCATAGCTGGTTGTACGGGTGGTTGTGCGGGCTGGTGGGTGACGCTCCGCTTGT